TAGTATTAGTCATTACAGGATCTTTATTTAATACTCCTCGTTCAAATTTTCCCGTTTCTCCTTTTTCTAAAAAGTATTCGTGGGGATGTTCTTCGTAAACATATACTCCTCGGTTAAAAATACCAGCAAAAAAACCATTTTTATCTCCTTCAAAAATATTAGGAACTATTTTAAAATAACCCTTTTGTAAAATATTGCCAATTTTTTCGGTATTAAAAGGCTCATTACCATTTTTCTTTAAGATTTTCATCATCTGATAACGATGACAAAGAGTTTTATTAAACTCTAATCTAATTCAAAAATTAATGCTGTCAAATCGTAAAGCAATCTCTCCTAATGAATAATCTCCATGAGTATGAGAAGCATCCAATAAAGAAGGAACCGAACCTAAAACAGTTTGCATAATACTACTAGTAGCAGCAGCCAAAGTTTTTTTTCTTTCTGATTGTCGTTCGTCTTTGCTTTTATCTCCTTTTTTATTATGGAGATATTTATTAGTAGTATCTTTTAAATCATCAGCCAAGCCACTAGTTTTTGGATCCACAGTGCCTAAACTTAATGCTTTTACTGCTCCGTCCAAGACTTTGGTTCCCATTTTCAAGGCTAAACCTTGCATTTTATCAGCCTCCAAAGAAAAATTTAAATCTTCACTATACCGAAACAAAACTTTTTTGCTTTCAAATCGATACATAATACCGGCAGGGTTAGCCCGAACAAAAACATTAAAATTGTTTCAGTCCATTTCATCCAAATTGCTTTCATGGACTTTTTTGCTGTTTCAGAAATAATTAACATTCACATGTTTTAGTAGATGTTCGTATTTTCCTCCTTTCCCGTCATGGCTCATCCGTTCCATTTTAGCATTTTTAACTCATTGGTCGAGAGTAGATTTAGCACTATTGCTGAATTGGATTTTAAACTTTTTGCCATCGGTCATGCTGCCATTTTGGTATCAGTCTGGTAAAAGAAAATAAGTCGTGGGGGTGAGGCCCTGGGTTTCCATGCTACCAGCCTCCTCTAAATCTAGGGTATGAAAAACGGGATATTTTCTATCCTGCCCGTAAGGTTTATTATGTAATTCCGTTCTTCACATCCCTCCCATAAAATTCTTTAATTTTCAAAGTTTATAAGTAGGTTGCCAGTCGGAAGTAAACTCGGCATATTCCGTGCTTTCTAAAAACGAAGGACACTGACAAATCTCATCTTTATTACCAAATTTAGGAGAATGATGGATAACCCCATTGGCTCCTTGACTTCAAAAAGTTGGATAATTATGGATAAAAATACTTCTTTGGGCTGTTATGATAGCATTTTCATGGTTTATTCTTTGTCAA